TTCCGAGCCTTCCAGCGCTCTAAAAAGTCCTTTCTACTCATTCCCTTTTTATATATCCTTCTTGGGGACATAGTTTCCAACTATACCTACGGGTCTTTGCATGTTAACTTCAGTCCCCCGAAAAAAAATGTCTAGAAGCCTCTCACGGTAATAGACCGTGAGATATCCCACAATAGAAAAGTCAAGGACGAAAAATATAAGGAAATATGCCTAGCAAATAAATTGATAAGAGTGTCATGTGTTATCTTAGTTTATGTTAAAAAAAATTAAAAAATTAAAAAAAAAAAATTATTATTATTAAGTTAATCTGTGACCTTTGGGATTTGAATGAGTAAACTCCGAGGGGTGTTCTACACCTAATCACCTAAAGCTCAATTGTTCGGGACTGGTTAGGTTGAAAGTTCGCTACATGGGTTCCATAGAAAGTCATGAACTTAATAATAAAAAAATAATAATGATATGTATAGGTATTCAAATAAAACTAATCTGTGGCCTTTGGGGTTTGGGCAAGTAAACCCGATGGATCCCTTTAAATCTAGCACACTAAGGTCATCTGGTCTGGATGTGTTGGTTGGAAGCCCGTTACATGAATTTCAAAGAAAGCTATGAGCTTTATTTGTAGGAAAATATAATTAGATAATTTGTATATATAATTGTGTTTAGTTAAATTGAATAATATGATTAGGAAAAATGCTTGGATGCCAAAAGATTCCCTTGGGCTTGGACTTGAACTTATGACATTGGGACTGAATGTTAATTAATTTGACTGGTGTAAGCGGTCTGAAATTTGTAACCAATCTGGGTAAATTTTAGGGAATTCTTAGAAAAGATTTTTTAGAAAAAGATTGTTGTTAATCAACAAATAACTGGAATCGGTCATTGTTATATTTTGTAAAACAAAAATGATTGAGCATGTTTTGTCACATACATTTTCAAGAAAGTAAGACCATAATTTGTTCCATGAATTGACTTGATGCTATTAAGAGGAAACAAGTGTTGCGATCTTTGATTATGTTGAGTTACATTAGGGAGTGGCTAAAAGTCTTGTTTTTGTTGTTATATAATATTTTAAGACTTATGCCAAATTGACTCAAGGCACGACAAGTACATTCTCAACTATGCTACAAAAACGAGGTTAATTGGGTTGGATCTTTTTCATATTTGTTTTGGTTATTGCATTAAGTTCAAAAGTTTTGATTTTGATTTTTGTTACTTTTATTTTATTTTATTTTCTCCGGTCTAAATTTTTCTTGTTCTTTCTTGGGGACAAGAAATGTTCAAGCTTGGGGAGATTTGTTAGGTGCATTTTATGCACCCATTTTGTAGCTTTATTTCATAAAAGTGCATTGCATATAGGCTTAAACTCATGCATTTTGTATGTTTTTCGGGATTTTTCATGAGGCAATTTCATTCACACATTTTTGTGATATTTCAGGGACTTTTGGAGGAAGGATCTTGTTGGAGGAGGTAAATAAGAGTTGCAGACAAAATTTCAGGACTTGCGGAGCACCGATGAGCAAGATATCAAAGAAATGAAGATTTTGGCTTTACAGGGATTAACACGCCCGTGTAAATGGAAGCCTTGTGTTTACACGGGCTGTGTAAACGTAGATTTCTGCGCAATGTACTATTGTATTTATACGGGCCGTGTAAACGTGGTCACAGGTTTAAAACATTTTTTCTTCTTTCTAAAAAGGGGCAACCAGTTCCATTAGAAGTTAAGTCGATTTTAGGAGTTCTTGGGGCGATTTTCTGGAAGATTTGGAAGGCAATTAATACTTGGAAACACTTGGATTTCGTTTTGATTTCAATTTGTAAGACTTTAACTTCAATTTCTAGATTTGTGTTCTGTTCTAGTCATGTGTGGCTAGAACCCTAGATTCTCCAACTTCATGTTTTGACTTCTTGGTTGTGATTTCAATCATATGACTTGATGTTTGCTTTTAATTTCTATCTAGTGAATTTGATTTTGCTTTAATCAAATGTTTGATTCTAATTGTGATTCTTATTGGCCATTTGAATTAGGGTTATGTTGAAATAGACCGAAGGGGATTGCAAGCACCCATATATGTTTGATAGTATTCGGTTGAAAAAGACCGAAGGGGTAGGCAAGCACCAAATATGCTTGGTAGTATCCGGTTGAAATAGACCGGAGGGGTAGGCCAGCACCTAGATATGCTTGGCAGTATGTTTGTTTAGTATGTGGTATGTTGGGGAAACTCACTAAGCTTTGTGTTTACAGTTTTCAGTTTATGTTTCAGGTACTTCCAGTTTGAAGGGGAAGGGCCCGACCTGATCGCACTGCATCACCCTATGATTTCCGTACTTAGTGATTTTGGAAATTTGTACTCTGATAACATGTTATTATGATACTCTTTTGACTATTTTGATATTAGTGTTGTGTGATTTGAATGAAATTAAATACAAACTTTTATTTGTATTTTTGAGATGTTACATACATAGTTACTAAGGCCCTGTTTGATATGCATCTGACCGAGTCAGGTCAGACATTTTTGGCTGACGTCTGACTCGGAAAACAAGGTCTGACCGAGAAAGAAATTGGGAGATGGCTGAACCAGAAAGAAAGCGAGGGTTTCCAATAGTATCCTTGGCTTGGATAAAAATTCACAGCTAATGAAGGTTAGGGGATTAGAACTTAGGTCTCCCTTGTAGAAGGGATGATGTTTACCAACAAGCTGAATGACTTTTTGTGTTTTATTTCTAAAATAATATATTTAATGTCTATTATGTTGGAAGTTTTGTATACATTATTATTATTATTATTAATGTCTATTATTATTATTATTATTATTATTATTATTATTATTATTATTATTATTGTAATTGTTGTTATTATTATTGTTGTTTTTATTATTATTATTATTATTATTATTATTATCATCATCATCATCTTCATATTGCATAGAAACGTGTAGAGCATCGGGGTAAAATGGTCATTTTGCACCAGTCAGCACATTCAGTCAGATTTTCAATCAAACAACATGATTTCTTACTCAGTCAGAATTTCTTACTCAGACAGACCTTTCTCAGTCAACACTCTCGGTCAGCAACTATCAAAAGGGGCCTAAGTTCAAGCCAAAACATGCCAAAATTCCTATACTTGGTATAAATAGTTCCTCCACATAAAAATCTTGATTTAATCCCTAAGATGACGTTCTAAATAATATTTGCATTTTCTTATCTTCTATTTCAACCTTAGATGATAAAACTTCATATAATCAAGCCTATATTTCAACTTAATGAGTTTATTCCAATACTGTTCATTAATTCCAAATTTTAAAGATTTTTAACTTCAACATCCACACAATCTCTATAACTAAATTTCAATTTAACTATTTTCTATATGTTAATTAACTTTGAGGCTTTTAAATCTATTATTTATTAACTGAATTAGTTTTTTTATTTAATATCATTATTCAAAATATTGTCACTTAAAAGTGCAAAACTTCTAGCTTAATATCAAGGGCATTACATGTGCATAATGTATATTTGTAATGTATATTTGTATATAATGAGAGTTTGATCCTGAACATGACGAAAGACGGAAGTGAAAGGAGTCACGCTCCCATTAGGGGTTGGGTAGAGCCCCAAACTGTCTTTATAAATTTAGAATTGAAATGCAATAAAAACCATAATCATAATGAAGGGAAGTTGAAAAAACATGCAAAATTTGGGTCCGCTTAATGACAACCTAAAAGCAACTTAAGTTGCATTGCCTACGTGACAGCTCCAATATAAGCTGCTTGTGACAACTCTAATCAAATATCTTGTCAGGATAATTTATCCATAAAACATTTTTAGTTACAATTTCCACAATTTTCATCAAATATATCCAATTTGAGGATAGATGATTATATATACTCGTATTTTGCATTTTCGATTCTTTTATGAAACCGAACAAAATATATACTCTTTAGAAAGTTGGTTGTTATTTTGTGCGTAGAACACAAAGTAGTCTGAAACTTTATCTCATTAATTTTTTTTGTTAACTAGATATATAATCAGGGGCGAATTTAGAGTATTAATAGGGCATGCAATTGAATACCCTTTGCAAGTTTCTAGAAGTATTAATTTTTTATTAAAAAAATATATTTACATATGTATATTGTAAGAATGCATACCCTTGTCACAATAAATGCATACCCAAATAAAATTGCAACCTAAGTAAAAGATAAATTAGCCATTTGACACAACTGAAACTTAAAAAAAAAACTAAAATACTTGTAATTATTAATTAACTAATGAAAACCAAAAATAAAAATTTGAGAAATTCTAAACTCCTAATCAATTTATAAGAATTTAAATAAAAAAGCTACAAGTAACCGAATCCAAGTTTAATACTAATGCTTTCCATTTATAAACTCAAATAAAAGGTGAGAAAACAAATCCTAAAAATCAAGGTCTAAGAAACCCTAACAGTAAGACATAGTCTCTGTCTCTCCGGACTCCTGCCACCGATCACTTCGACACAAGAAATGTCTGTCGATGTTGGCCCGAAAATTGTTGCTACTTGCTTGTTATGTTTTTTTCTGTCTTAATATTTTGCCAATAAGTACAACATTTGTAAATTTTTGTCTTGATAGTTAGTGTTTTTTTAGCTTTTTTTATTATTAAATAGAAAATGTTATATAGTCGAATGCCCTAATTTATTTTTTTAGATCAGCCACCGTAATATATATAATATATTGAGAAATACTAATACAAACAAACTTACACGATTTGTGAAATATCAATATTCATTGGTTACCACACACTTGTTTTTTACTCCCAAATTTCTAACAAAAATGATATATTTTCAAACTCTGAGTCCATATCTAGGTTCGAACTCGATTAAACTATATTGGGATGCTCATGCTACCCTAATTGCAAAATAAACTTGTTTTCATATTTAGAAATAAGTTAATTATTTGAGAACAAAAATACTTCACTTTTGTACCTAGAAACAACTGGACTGGGGGACTGGGCTATGAACTGGACCCGACTCCCAAATCTCATTGACACACACACACTACAGCACCCGAAGCGTAACGAGAGTTTGGCGAAACGCATCATCATATCATCCCTCGACCCTCGATCATCATCACACTAGTGGTGAAAAGGGGCTAGCAGCCATCATCACCATCGTTGCCAATTCTTTCTCACTTGAAGTCAGCCCTAGAACCGGTGCCTTTATCGTCGCCGATTCCGGAAATCAAGACCTCAACTTATCCCACATCTACTTCTATCCGTCCAGGCATGTATGTATTCGCTTTAAGACTTACAGTCCATGCCTTCAATTGTTCGCCGAATCCTGTTGATTTAAGTAGCTGATTTAACTCATTTCATTCACTTCCTATCGAGCCGATGTAGTTTTTGCATAAGAAATGCTTGAGTTGTTTTATCATGTAAAAACAGCTTGAGAAATCTGAAATTGGGGTCGGATTAGATATACGTTCTGTGAAGTAATTAGGTCCTTTTGTGAGAGCTCTAGGATAATCATTGATGCTTATACATATTTCAATCTTTACCTATATTAGCTTGGGCAGCTGCCAACATAGTTTAAACATAAAGAACCATGCATCTGTCTTTTCAGTTGTTCTTATCTTTTGACCTTGTCAAGATGTATATTGCTTCTGAAAGTTTGCTGCATTTGTTTCTTAAAAACTTAAGTAGGTTGAATGCCATATGCCCATACATAAATTGAGATTTTTTTGCACTGCTACTACTCTTGAAGCTCTAAGTAAATAAGATGCTGTGCTGGTGTTCTTGTAGTATACATATAGCTTTACATGTTCAACTGTGCTTATGGTTGGTTTGATTTTTACCTATTGGAACTCAGAAAAGATACATAATTTGTATATTCTAATAAATATTTCTTCTATATATCCACAGTCAGTCATAAACAAAGATGGGGATCATAGAAAGGATCAAAGAAATTGAAGCCGAGATGGCACGTACCCAGAAAAATAAAGCAACAGGTTATGAACGTGAAGCTTTCATATTGTCTCATATCTCTGTCAATGATACATCATTCTTTATATGAAGATTATTTCACAAACATGTAGTTCATTTTGCCTTTTTCCTAAACACAGAATATCATTTGGGTCAGCTCAAGGCTAAGATCGCCAAGCTAAGGACACAACTACTGGAACCCCCCAAAGTAAGCAACTGATACAGTTTTCTCAATGGTGATTTACTCATTATCATGATGTATATCTTCATGTTTCTTTTTCGTGATAAACAGGGTTCTAGTGGAGCTGGAGAGGGTTTTGAGGTGACAAAATATGGCCATGGTCGTGTTGCACTTATAGGATTTCCAAGGTCTGTTACTGGAACTTATCTGATACCCCCTTTTCCACCAACACGAAATAATGTTATAATATATATATATATATATATATATATATATATATATATATTTTATTACAGTGTGGGAAAGTCAACACTGTTGACCATGTTAACGGGAACACATTCAGAAGCTGCATCATATGAGTTTACAACATTAACTTGTATTCCTGGGATTATTCATTACAATGATACCAAAATTCAATTGCTTGATCTTCCTGGAATCATTGAAGGAGCCTCAGAAGGGAAGGGGCGTGGTAGGCAGGTAATAACTTTTACAGTATCACTATAAATCTGATTATGGAAAGATTTTAATAAAAAAAATAATAATGAGCATTCATTCGTTTCAACCTCAGGTCATTGCAGTTTCAAAGTCATCAGACATTGTGTTGATGGTTCTTGATGCTTCAAAGGTAAATCCTTGCTGTATTTCCATGTTTGTTTCTTTATAATCATTTTGTGTAACATTTTTATATATATTTTTAGAGTGAAGGGCATCGACAGATATTGACAAAAGAGTTGGAAGCTGTTGGCCTGCGTTTAAACAAGAAACCACCCCAAGTAATATGTCAAATGTTATTTTCATGTCAAGTATTTGTTTTTTTATATATAGTTTTTGTTGATGATTTGGATGCTTTTTGACAGATTTACTTCAAAAAGAAAAAAACTGGGGGTATTTCTTTTAACAGCACCATGCAGTTGACTCATGTGGATGAAAAACTTTGCTACCAAATTCTACATGAATACAAGATCCATAATGCAGAGGTAATCTAAGATTTTTTTTTTTTTTTTTTTTTTTCCGAGTAAAGTGGCTGAATGGGTAATGATGTCTGTCTGGATAAAGTAAAGTGTTGTATACATAAGGTCTGTGTCTTTTCTAGACTGAATAAACCGTCTGAAATGACCATTTTACCCTCACATTCCAAAAAACAAATAACACAATATTCATTAACTTTTAACGTGAGATGAGTTTGGAGGCAAAAAGAAGGGCAAATAGGTAAAGGGTTAGTGTCTTAATACATTAAGACAAATTTTTTTGCTTTACCCACTAAGTCAAAAAAGTCAACAACTAAAGTGGCTTTACCTCAAGAATCTTTTTTGATTACTGAACAAAAAAAAAAATTTATTTATTTTTTCAGATTTTGTTTCGTGAGGATGCGACTGTGGATGATTTGATTGATGTGATAGAAGGAAATCGAAAGTACATGAAGTGTATATATGTCTACAACAAAATAGATGTTGTGGGTATTGATGACGTGGACAAACTAGCACGACAACCCAACTCTATTGTCATCAGTTGCAACTTGAAGGTATATTTTGTACTTGATATTCATATTTTAATGTATGATCTGAGGCTAAATTACTGATTTGCCCTTGGTATTATGTTGCAGCTGAATTTGGATAGACTGCTTGCAAAGATGTGGGATGCAATGGGGCTAGTTAGGGTTTACACAAAGCCACAGGGGCAGCAGCCTGATTTTAGTGATCCTGTCGTTCTTTCTGCTGTATGTATATAAATAATTTATTTATTTATTTAAAAATTAATTTGGAATAAATGTGATTAAAAAACGGAGTAAAAATTTACAGGATAGAGGTGGATGCAGTGTGGAAGATTTTTGTAACCACATACATAGAAGCTTGGTGAAGGATGTTAAATATGTGTTGGTGTGGGGGTCAAGTGCAAGGCATTACCCACAGCATTGTGGCCTCAGTCATGTTCTTCAGGATGAGGATGTTGTTCAGATTGTCAAGAAAAAGGTATGATTACATTTTTGAAATTAAAATATAAAATAAAAATGAGAATTTATTTGTTTAATAAATTTGTTGATGTGATATTACTTACTTACAGGAGAGGGATAGTGAAGGAAGAGGGAGGTTCAAGTCGCATACAACTGGTCCTGCTCGAATAGCTGATAGAGAAAAGAAGGCTCCACTCAAGAATTAAGTTATATATATATATATATATATATATATATATATATATATATATATATATATATGCATGCATGCAGATCAAAAGAATATTATAAATTTTGAGAGGAATGTTAGTTATATTACGTTTTGCCAGATGTTTAATGCATGCAGCTTAAATGTTTTTTGTATTGTTTTGATTGAAATTCAGACATAGGTTTTGTTTTTCAAATGGTATTATGATATGTAATGTGGACAATGGAGGAGACATGTGATATTATGTGTTTCTGTTGGTATTTCATATTTGGATGTTGGTTTCTTGTTTTGAAAAGATTTGTGCAATCTCGGTAGATGCCTTACATTTTGACACATCTGTTTTGTTGAATTATGTTAAGGGCTTTTGAGTTTTGACATGAAAGTCCTTAAGTTCCAGAGTTAGCACGTCACCCCCTAATATTTGCAAACTTTTATTCATATTTGCCATGCCATCTAGCGGTTCTGTTGAAAAAACCGAACCAAACCAAACTGGAGAGGCAAAAAAAAAAACATTTTTTGATCAATTATGGCTTCTGGAAACTAAATAAAGAAATTGAAACCGGTTCTACCTTTTTGATCGATTCTTCACCAAAACCCTTTTTTGTGATCTTCCACCATTAATGGTAATAGAAAATTGGCCTCCCTCATCCATGGAAGATACTCAAACTCAAGTAAGCCCTTTATTTATTTATTTATAATGTTTTGATGTTGTAAATCTTGATTCATGTTGTAAATCTTGATTCTTCAATGTCATTGACCTTGTAATCTTGATTATTGATGTTGTAAAATTGCAATCATGATTCTTAAATGAAATTTATGGTGTAATTTTGATTCTTGAATCTCCTTAATGTTGTAACACTGATTGTTGAATGCCTGATGATGTTATACTGTTGAATGCCTAATGTTGAATATCTCATTGATGTTGTAGTCTTAATGCCATTGTTGTTGACTTTATGTATTGTGATATAGGTAAATGTTTTTTATTTTATTTTTATTTATATTTATTGTAATATGATATATTTGTTGAATCCACCCCACCATGTTTTTGTTGATGATGATGATTCCGACAAGGGAAAAGAAGAGAATATGCCATTGTTATATAAGTAAATGTAAGTTTTGCTTACCTATCCTTATAGCCGATACGGACAAAAACATAATGTCTACTTGTCTAGTTTAAATAAACACGTCATGCAAAACAAATCCGAAAAACGATAAAGGGCAAACCACTTTGCAATTTTCAAAAAAACAAGCTTGTGAGGATGGTAGTAGTGTCACAACTTGGAAACATGATGTTAGGATTAAGAAAACTTTACTTAACCTATTTGTTGTAGGTGAACTACCGTGTAAGTTTGTAGAAAATGAAACTTTTATTGAGTACAAAAGTGCTTTTAACAAGAAAATTACTATAGTGGTGATGTTTCTAAGTATTATGTTTGACGAAATAAAAAAAAGTAGTTACTTACTTTAGTAATCCAAGTAAAATAATACACTTGACTGCATATAACTGGATTTTCTCTTGTCAAAAAATGAATTATATGGTTGTAAGTTGTAACAGATCATTCTGTTGATGATAATTGGGTAATGCATAAAAGAATTCTAAACTTTAGAACCATATATAGCCGCAAAGAGGGAAGACATGGGCCGCTTGCTACTTGATTGTATAAGCGGGTTGAGGATAAAAAATGCGATGACCATGACCGTCAACAATGTCACTTCAAATAATAAGGCAATAGAATTTTGATTAAAAAAGTATCCAACTTGTATGATGGTGGAAAAAATTTATCCACTAGGTGCATGTCCCATATTTTGAAGCTAACCGTCAAATATGGGCTAAAGGAACACAACTATCATGTTGAATGTGTTTAAATAGTCGTAAGATATATTAGACACTTAACCGGTAGAATTACAAAATTAAAAAGTGTATGAAAAAGTGACTTAGAAGGGGAATAAATTATTGTGTGGTGATTATCTAACGAGATGAAAATCCACATATGTGTGACCACATTCGGTTTGAGAGAGACGTTTTTCAAGTATTAAGTTCAAGGTAAAATGTTGTTTTTTTTCTTAAAAAAATTGTAGTTCTTTTTTTATATAAAAAAACTTTTTTTATAAAAAAGTTAAGTGCAATTTTCTGTATTTTTTTCTATTTTTTTTTTTATAAAAAGTGTTATTTTTATATAAAAAAAATGTTTTTGTAATGTTTTTATTAAACAAATTTTTATTTAGCTTATGTGTTTTATATGTTAATAGGGTTTGTGTTCTATTTGTAAATACTTCATATACATAAGATTTTTAGGTAGAGTCCAAGAGTCTGCCGATTTCCGTATCATAGAAGATATCGTATAATTCCTTGAAAATTTTAAAACAAAAACAGAGAATATGTCGGCTTCATCAAAACCATTGTACGAGAATTTTTTGTTGTTTACAAACATCTAAGAGAGTATTCAACAAAAGTGAGAATTTGCCACATGATCCCGGAAATGCATTCGAAGTACGACAAGTATTGAGATTCATTCGACAAAATGAACGATTACATGCCAGCTTCATCGTATTGTTGGACCCACAATTTAAGACAACATTTTCGATTTTTTATCACGTCTTTAAAAAGATGCTCTTATACATGGTAACGGAAGAAAACCAATCATCGGATTCTACCGTAAACTTGATGGTAATATCTATGCTTCAGGAGGTTGAGTAAAGGATACAACTTATAAAGGAAAACATGACAATGCCAGATTGTCTTAAAAAGAAAAAAGAAATCGTGACTTTTGATGTCGATAACGATTTTATGAATGATTTCTTAAACATAGAAGGAACCAACTCGGTTTCAATGGAAATCGAGTTAAGAAGGCATATGAGTGAACTAAAGTGTCTTTCAGTAAATAATTCGATATCCTAGATAGATGAAAAAACGCATTGTGTTTCCCTATTGTTTCTTATGGAAAAATATAATTTCTAATACTTAATTTAGTATTTTATAAGTTAAATTATAAATTAACTAACTAATAATTTTATAATCGTTTGTTATTACTCCCCCCGTCCCATATTTATTGTCCAATTTTGATTTTTGAAGTATCTATTCAACTTTGATCTTAATATCTTTATTTGTGTTATAAATTACTTGATGAAACTTATAACAATGAAAAGACATTTAAAACATAGTCCATTCATATATTTTACATCAAGTATTGTATATCAAAAGGGCTTCTAGCCCAGCGGTACCGGGTGTTGCCCTCTCCCTCTTAGAGGTTGAGGGTTCAAGTCTCATTGGAGACATATGTGGAATTATGAGTAGTTTAGGTCTAGAGTAGATTTGCCGTTGTAAAAAAAAAGTATTGTATATCAAAAACAAAAACATTTAAGGTTAAAATTGAAGAATAAAAACTTCAAAAAGTCAAAAGTGGACAATAAATATGAGACGAAGGTAGTACATATTTTGGTCATACAAGCCATCCGAATCCGTATTTAGCACTTGCGGTTGAGTTTTAGATGAGTATCAAACATGTTTGACAACACCCGTTGTAGAGGCGTTGACGTTTACGTAAAATTGTGGAGGTTTGGAAAATGATTTAATAGGCTGGCACATAACTTAATGGCTAAAAACCAATTTCAGAACCGAAAAGGCGAAACCCGACACCGACATCGAACAAAAACATTTAAGGTTAAAATTGAAGAATAAAAACTTCAAAAAGTCAAAAGTGGACAATAAATATGAGACGAAGGTAGTACATATTTTGGTCATACAAGCCATCCGAATCCGTATTTAGCACTTGCGGTTGAGTTTTAGATGAGTATCAAACATGTTTGACAACACCCGTTGTAGAGGCGTCGACGTTTACGTAAAATTGTGGAGGTTTGGAAAATGATTTAATAGGCTGGCACATAACTTAATGGCTAAAAACCAATTTCAGAACCGAAAAGGCGAAACCCGACACCGACATCGAACTGGTTTAGTCCATAACAATGCGGCCAATTCTTTTAAAAATAATTCTGATAAGGCTGCAAGGAGTGACTCATATTAGAGTTCGACACATTCGATGTGGCTTCAGCGCACACCGTGCCACGACCTCGACAGAGGCTACTCAACACTCCTACTCAACATATGTCTACCAAGTTCAATTCTCAATTAACCCCACCCACTAACCAATCAACTGCTATTTTTTGTGATTTTTTTTAATTCTCAAACTCTATAAACCACCCCTCCTAAATGACAAAAGTTTTATATAGTGTGGCAAAGATGATATGACGGCTATGTATTGTGTGACAGTAGTGACATCATCCCCTCTATGTAGTGTGTGTGTGTGTGTATATATATATATATATATATATATATATATATATATATATATATATATATATATATATGAGAAATTTTCACAAAAATTATTATTTTTTTAGAAAAAAAACATTCATATTTAACTTATTTTCTAAAAAACATCAATTTTTAATAAAAAGATTTTTTTTTCTTTTGGAATACAATGTAATTCTTGCTATAAAACATAACTGCTGTTTGGCAGGATCTGAATTTTTAAGATCTGAATTGCGAGGTGAGAATGATTAGATTTTTTAATAAAACCAAAACCGAACCAATGATTTTTTCGGTTTTAGTTTCTCTCTCTAGGTATTTTGTTTTTATTTTTATTCGATGATTTCTTTATCAACAATGTTGCTAAATTTAATAAAACACATAATATAAGACGATGTCAATATATGCTTAATATTTTAATTTTCATAAAAACATAAACGCATAATAATTATTTTATAGAAACACGAGTGGTTTTTAGGAAAATTTCCAAAAAAACATAAATGCATAATATTTATTTCATAGTGACATTCAGTAGCTTAAATCAAATGGTTATTACTTATAACAAACTGGTTTACTTTGATATCAAGCGTGCGTTTGGTAAGGAGAAATAGAATTGGAGCGGAGAATGAAAATGAAGAGAAAGAGAAAATGAAGAGAAAGAGAATTGATTCTTCTATTTGGTACAACATAGAATTCACTAATAATCAATTCTCTTGTTTAACTTTAGTAAGAAATGGACTAGAAATATTTTTTTCCGGTGATTTATCATTTTCAACCAACATTTCAAATGGCAATTATGTTTTGATTAACATATTAATTTATCAAGTTTTAATTAATTTCTAGCAATTAACTTTTATTATCAATAAACATTTTGTCTTATTTAAAGTGTAAAAAAATTGCATATCGAAACATAATTCTAACATGCTCAGTATCGTAGAGGTCATTTACATGACAGTTTGAGGCCAATTTGCACCTACATGTAATCATAAGCACAACAGAAAAGGTACATTTACCTTTTCAACATGAACCGTAATCTGTAATGGCATTTTCTATGAACCATAATCTGTAATGGCATATTCTAGCTTTTGTTCTTTTGTTTTGTTTGAACGAGAAACTGAATTAAATTAGAAAGTCAGCAGAAAGCTGGACAAATAAAGATTCCATTTCTTTCCTTTCATTTCACTATACCAAACATGCCCCAAGAGTCATGCATGATACACCATAAACTTAGCACATTTGGAGGAGGTAAATAAACTAAATCACAATTCACCATTCACCATTCACCAATGCAAATATGAATAATAATACTTCACTTGAGAAACAGCTAACGATTCAAGAACCAGAGTTATATAAAATCCTGACCAAACATTCTTCCAATTCATTAAAAACATAAATCACAAAAAACATTAAACCAACCCAACACAAATCTAGTCACGCTCACTGATGGCAGTCAAATGTTCATCAATTTCCTCAGTTGACAGCACACGAAAAACTGCATTCTCTTTTCTAACAACTCCAACCTATTACCATAAAACATACCAATTAATGTGTGTCAAAAATCATTTTCTTTTATTTTTGAACAAAATTTGATTTTCTTTTTGTTGGCATACCTCAATCTCATTGGCCTTGAAGTCTTCTTGTAGAACAGATTGCAAAGCAGAAATTGCAGTCTGCACTCAAACATGAGATGCATCAAGCATATGTCAATGTCAAATACAATTAGTACAAAAAAGTTGCAACTCAAAGAAAGTGTAGTAATTCACCTGTACAGTTTCATCATAAGTAAATTGAGGGTCATTTTTCATTTTCTTCTCAAGGAAATTAATTGCCTCTTGCTCTTTCAACCCAGCACTTGTTGCCTACAAACAAAATTGAAAAACTACATCAGATAACAGATTTATATCTTTTTCTAAATCCATTAAAAAAATTCCACACACCTTATGTCCAAAAAAGTGTCCTGCTGGATCACATTTGAAGAGTTTAGGTCCATTCTCATCATCAATACCCAACACCATAGCCACTGAAGTTCAAACAAATCAAAAAAATCATGCACATTCACAAAAACAAGCATCAAAGTTAACTCCATAACAACTTCACATGTAGAAACTAACCTACTCCAAGTGGTCTCATGTAAGCATGTTGAGTATAAACTTGTGATTTGTCAGCAATCCTGCAACATATAGATTTATCAACATACAAAATGATATGACATAATCTGATAAATGGAACCCAGGTAAAACAATAGGATTAATACCATCTTGCCAATACATCAACAGGCATCTCATAACCATATTTATAACGAAACTCAGCTGCTTCATTTCTTGCTTGTTGAACCAATGTCCTTGCATCAGCTGGAAAGATGTATAAAACACTACTTATTAGTAGTCTTGGATACACAAAATATATTTGATTTGATGCTGCAAATCATTGGAAAAACAAACCTGTAGTGCCAGTAGCTAACAATCCAAGGAACTTAGTAACGGGGAAAAGATGTGTAACGCTGGTTGGATCCAAGAGCTTGTCCTGTTTGTATCAAGAAAAAAAGTAAAAAAAAAAAAAACGTGAAACTCTTAGGATTTGAAAGCGATTTCATCTCAAACTGAGTCGCAGACACTCACCGGAACCTTCTTCTGGGTCACGACACATACGGAGTCTTTGCCTCGAACACCGATTGAGGTGACTCCAGCTGCTTTAACAGCTTTAAAAGCATATTCTGTTTCAATTCACAACATTCAACATAATTCATAAGGAAAAAACCCTAATTCAAATCAGAATCGTATAAAACTGAAGTGAACCATACAGAAACGTAATTTCCTTATCCAATGATCCATCGTAGAAGAGCATCAATTCTTAATAAGAAGATATATGGAGACAATCGTGGTGAAATAGGGTTTAGGAATTCATACCGACTTGAAAGAGACGACCTTCGGGCGAAAATATAGTAATGTGACGATCATATCCACCTCCACTTCCACGACTCATGATGATGATGCTCGGATCAGTGTTCTTCGGTGAGTATTAGTAATGATCTTCTTTGCCCTTTTGAATCAAGAACACGAACACTTTTCTTTCTTCTCAAGACAAGATCCTGAAGGAGGACTAGTAACCTCTTGGGGCGGGGTAAGTTGGACCGAAAAGATGAAACGACATCGTTTTGCAGCCCAATAAATCTTTCACGACATTGGGCTTTCGATAGTAGGCCACGACAACAGCTAAGGCTCAGGATGAAAACTCTTTGCGCTTGTTGGGCCTCCTCATTAGAACACTATTAAAAAGTTTTTGCCTTCAAAATCAAACTGCAAATCTAGGGTTTAGAATTTCTCCATTTGTGTGCTCGAGCTCGACGCCAACGCAAGAAGAAGAATGGGTCACTCGAACATCTGGAACTCGCATCCTAAACTATACGGACCTGGTTCTCGAACTTGGTTAGATTCATGTTCCTTTTCTCGTTTTTTTGCTCAATTTTAGTGTTCGTCTAATATACTTGAAGCTATTTTTATATAACAAGAAGGTAATGGTTATTCAAATCTCGCATCAAATAAATGCATCATTTTCAATAGATTAAATCTAGTTGTTGATGTTTTTGGTGATTGTTTGTTAAATTTTATCGATCAAATCTGAGTTATGATTGCACTTGGTGCATTTGAAGATTATGTTTACCTTGGTTATATCGGGTGAGTTTATGATCTGATATGATTTTGGTTGTGGTATATCAGCCGTGTATGTGGTAACTCGCATGGACTTATCAGAAAGTATGGGCTCATGTGCTGCAGACAGTGCTTCCACAGCAATGCCAAGGAAATTGGCTTTATTAAGGTTAGTTTTGAATCTATGACAGGTTTCGACTTTTGAAATTATCAATGATTTTGATGAAAGTTAAACATATTGTTCAAATTCTATCCTTTTCAGATTTTTGCTTAGTTTTGTTGTTAGCAAAATCTTGTTTTGTAAAGTTGTAACTTTTCTAACAGTATCGTTGATTAATGGATGGTGGAACAAGCGGAGGTTGCAATTTTCAAGCAGAAGCATGTTATGAAGTAGCTGTCTGTAATCTTTTAGCCTTGAAAATTTGGCATTATTATTTCTAAACTAATGTTATGTCTAGTGTAAGACTTTGTTGATGAAGTTTGGTAAGAATTGTTTCAATTTCACTGTTTTTCTTTACACATTTTTAACGCCACAACAATCAAATTTAACCTAAAGTTTTAAAATTGAACTGTTCAACAACCTTTGATTTTCAAACTGTCTTCATACTTTAAAACGTTCAAAAACCTTCTTTTAAATCATATCGTGTTTTAATTGTATTTTTTTTATCATGTTACTAAAGCAAAATGCGACGTTGTGTTATATTCGTGGTATATAAAAATTATTGCATCGTTGTAGCTAAATACTTGCTACCCCTACCAAATATAATTAATATAATTATGAACATTATGTTTTTCTTTTTGCGTTGTGAGTGCATTTTATAAACAAGAGAAATTAAATTGGCTCATAATTTTTTATGTCTATAAATATTTCTACCCATTAAAATTATGACAAATGTCACTATGGATTGTGTCCATGGACGTATTGTGTTAAAGAGACGAATTGTGTTAAAGAGCAACGGATTGTGTCATGGACGTATTGTGTTAAAGAGCAAATGAAGAAAGTTCAAATTTCCTCTATAGACAATTTAGTAGTCCCTCAAGGCAAGTGATGAAATCAGTTGAAATTTCCTCTATAGACAATTTAGTAGTCCCTCAAGGCAAGTGATGAAATCAGTTTAACCATTTCAGGAGTTTTGTTATGCAACACTTCTAAATGAAATTGACACATTTTAAAATTCGACATGTTTCAAGCTTGGGTTGCCTTGCCTTTCAAAAAAAAAAAAAAAAATACAGTCACGGTATAAAGAGATTATGGCAAAGTATCGGGAAGACACATTCAAATCTTATGTAATTATCAAAATAAATTTTATTCGGGTGACTTAATTCTCAAAATAACTATAATTGTCAATATTTGAGTATGATGATGTGCCTAGGGCAGCACAACAGAAGCACGAGCCGGACACGCCAACCGGCCCTAGCCCAGCAGGCTTAGCGTCCGCTGGCACCCCCGGGAGTGGAAGGCACAGGCGAAAGGCTCACACACGCCAACCGGGCCCAGCCCAGCAGGCTTAGCGTCCGCTGGCGCCCTCGGGAGCGGAACGCACAGGCGAAAGGCTCGCGCCCGCCTAGAGACGCTCCCAGCTCCAAGACAAAAGAAACGGTCAGGAGACAAGCAGGAGGATCAGACCATTACCGTCAGAGCCAATAAGAGCGCCCTAACAGTTAAAGGCGCATGACTCTCCAATCAGCGCCCCTGATCCTGTCTCCCCAAAAAGCGATCTTGTCTGGTACGGATCAGGCAAGGGAGCTAGATATAAAAGGATACGCTCTCAGACCTACGAGGTAAGCTCTCTGGACTCTCTAAGAGCGCACACCCAAAGACCCTAAACACTCTCTAACTTGACCGACGGAGCGTTCTTCCGGGAGCTCCTCCCGGAAAGCGGCTGACGGCCTTCTTTCTTTGTGATCTTGCAGAGGCAATCGAGAATCCAAGTGAACAATACCGATCGAGCCAGACCAAGGTCGCATCAGAGTAAATAATCAAATGATGATGTAATTATCAAATGGGTCTATTAATTATCAAAAGGAGTTAACTTAAACGAATGATTATTAACAAACCTTTTATCATTAGATTTTTTACATTCCTTACGTGCCTTCGCTTCCTATACCCAACCCTCATAAACGTTGCATGCGGTTTACAACCAATTCAAATTTGGGTTTTTGACCTTTTTCACCACCTAAAAGAAATTGGTTCATCTCAAACCTTTATTCGAGTTGAAAATTCTTGAATCGAAAATCCCCGTATTATATACCTTGACCTTTTTCTTGACGTTAATGTTGATTTAGTTGTGTAGAATAAGGCAAACTGGCAAAGTATGGCAGACATTAATGAGACTTTCCGCCATGAGTAGTCATTAACAATCAATGCTTCTTATTTGTTTTAGAAGTTATTATAATTTATACAATATAATTTATTACATTAGTTTTAGTTCGTACGTATATTTTCTCAAATTTATTCTACAAAATGCTATAATGTATACAATAGTAACTCAATTTTTTTTACCGCAAATCTAATCTACTTCTAATCTAAGTTATCACATTCAATAAAACAATATTATAAGCTTGACATGACCTCAAGTTCAACAAAAATACTTTATTATTTGTAAATTTTTTTTATTAAATTAAGACTATATATAAATAAAAACCTTGAAATTTAAGCTCAAAATTTCTAATTTTAAATACAACTCTTGATGGTCAACATAAAATAAACTACCGGACTTGGTAACGAGCTGAACCGAGTGAAATTTTGTTACATGAAATTTGATATTCTCAACGTAAATAGTTGATACAAATTACAAAGTCACACATCCATTTTATTACAAATTACTTTAGGTCTTTGTAGCATAAGGACATGGTTCTAAAAGAATATCATAGGACCTAACAACAACTAAAATGCTATGATACTATACAATTTAGATAGATATAAACACCAAATTATATTAGTTTTCAGTTCTGTATTTATTTTTGATCAAACACGCATAATTATGATGGGACTAAGTAACGATGTATCACTGTTGATAAAGACAAGAAGAAGGATTATGTCTAAAAAATATAGACTTTTTGGTAGGTGAAATTAATTCATATCATGCATTTGTCAATTTTTCATCCTAATGTCTTGTTTATAAATCAATGAGAGTTTGATATTATTGTGTATGGAGGACTCAAATAATGAGGTATCCCTTACTCTATTATTCGAGACTTGGGAATTGTTATAGTTACTGTTATATTCTTGTGGACGAGGAGCATGCACGTCGTATCTAAGAGAAGAAATTATTGATTAACAAGGAGATGTTTTGTATAACCTTCATGATTATTTTTTCTAGATTAACTAAGCTCAAACACTTACAAGATTATAATCATAAATTGATTTCCTAAACAAAAACAATAATCGAAAGAAAGTAGTTGAAGTTTGTTAGATGAACGTACATTTGAGTTTTCATCACTTTCAAAGTCGTAGTAGGTTGACCGATTTTCAAATTAAAGTATATTTGAGTTTTGAAAATAACCAAAACTTTGTTTGACAAGTCTACAAACTTAGTTGATGAGTTTTAGTTTTTACAAAATCAGGTTTTAAAACATGGTAAAAACTGACAATACATCAACATGTCAAATTAACATTCTTTTTCTAGTTTCTTTTGGATTTATATCATGAAATGAAGGTTTTTTTAACCTTACAAAAATGTTTTACCATTATTAATCTTAACCTTTTTTCTATAAAAATCTAATTATATTATAAAAGATTTTTTTGAAATAAAAATCTTGGTTTTTACAAAATATAACTTCAAATCCTTTTCCGTCAAAAGACAAATGATAAATGAGTTAAATTGCCTCCAGAAAACGAATTATAATACAAAGAAAACGAATCATAATACAAATAAAGTTATCTGACGAAGACAAAAATGATGCAAATCTTTGTGTCGGTGGACGGACACCCACGAGTGCCCTATTCATATGGTCACATCTTTTTCTATTATTATGTCAAGGTCCTTTGTACTATCTAGGCATCTAAAATGAACGTTCTCGTCAAATATCAAGTCATTTTGGTACTTTATTTGAGTCTTTTATGTCGGTCGGCAGAGATTCATGTTTTAAGCTTTTGCATATATATGTAATAACTCAGTTGTAAGAGATATCGAAAAGAACAAAATTGTAAAGGAGGTTTTCGTATGTTGTAACGACCCAATTTTTTTCAAATGTAACGACCCAATTTTCAAAACAAAATTTTCATTTTTAATTGTCCAAAATGCATGTTTACCATCCACAAAACCATTTACAATTGTTTTCAAAACATATCAATTACAACTTTGTGTTAAAACATCAGAGTGTCCCGTAACATAATAATGAGAGATAGAGTGCACGCCGCGCCATCAAACCTTGCCTTTGCCCTTGGGCTCAGATGTACCTGAAACAAATCCACAAACTGTAAGCGAATGCTTAGTGAGTTCCCCAGAGCATACCATACATACAATTCAAATATCATATATCATACTAGCCCTAAGGCTACATACATCACGTAAGTCATGCATACAACCGATAAGGATGTCGTGGGCTCGTCCCCAGGGTCTTACTCCAGGATGCCATGGGCTCTCCGCATGGTCTTACACCTAAGTGTCATGGGCTCTCCCATGGTCTTTGATAGGAAAGCCATGGGATCTCTACATGGTCTTACATCCAAGTGCCATGGGCTCTCCCATGGTCTTCCATACAACATACCACATATATCAAAGCATACTTCCTAGTTCATACCAACTAACATGTCACATAATACAATCTCAGCTAGGATACTACACATCATAAAATGGGTCGGCCTTGGTGCCTTAGACCCATTGGTATGGTGAGGAGACTCACCTCTGTCTGCTGAATACAAAGCTGTTCTCCTAACAGTCCGTAACCTCCCGCGCTGAATAATAATATTAAACAATGTTAGGACTTTAATTAATCAAAGGAAACCCAAACTCCAAACCCTTCCATAAGGTCCAATTATCCATCCCTTGCTAATGGGCCCAAAGTCCAAGTCTAAAATCCTTAATCGGCCTCTTGGCCCAATAAGGCCCAATCAATATGTCCATGGCCCATAACCGATGATATGACTCATAATTCCCAGAAAACAACCATGCCCAATAATCAAATGAGGCCCAATAGCTCTAAGGCCCAAAACAGATTCGGCCAAACTGTGATGCGTACGCTCGGCATACCACCCTGGTACGCGTAGCGTACTGGGGTGTTGGGACTACGCGCGGCGTACACTGGGTTACGCCCAACGTACAACCAGTTTAAGCACTTTCTCCATTAAGTGCTTAATACTCGTTTCCTTTACGTCCAAAAGTGTCACACCCCCAAAACGGAACGGCGGAAACGTTCTGGGGTGGAGGACGTCATGTCAAGTATCACAACACATGCATTATAGAAATCAAAGTAACAACAACCATTGTATTGATAATATAATATTTACATTATGTTTAAAACATTACTTGAAATACATGAAAAGTACAACAAAAGATAAGACGTAAAGCTCCGTCTTCGCAACCCTTGGG